CAGTTCCAGTACTTTTTGAAAACTTTAATATCGCTACTTAGATTGAAAGAGCTTATTCATGACAAACGTAACGTAAAACATATTCAGTGATTCCCCTGCCATCATATAAGGGTCTAGCGTCACTGACCTAAAGATATGCAGCCACAACAAGAAAAACATCCAGAAAGTAAAAATGTTGGGGTTAATTTGAAAGAGTGTACTTGCATTTTTATGCTTTTACATTGCCATAAAGGCATTATACAATGGGTGGGAAAATAATTTCTTAAAATAACAATAATAGTGTATCACAATACATTTGTTTAATTTTAATATGACAGAAAAAGTGTGCTTTAATTTAGGCTACTTGATCCATCAGATTTTTAATGGCTCATCTGATTTTAAGTGAGAACAAAGGATAAAAAAAACAACTCCGTTTTATTTGTGTAAAAACTTGGTGAACAAATGCAAAGGAATTATATTTGCATAATAGTATGCAAGACTAGTCCTGACTAGTAAAAATATAAATATCATTTATTGTAATAAACAATATGAAAAGACTAGAAAAGTCATTTTAGGCATTTTACTTCCACGTTTTGCGGCATTGTTAATATGTTAATAAATAAGAATAAATATAGTTTCTGCTCTGGACTGGCATATATGAGAGGGTGTTTCAGTTCTGCCAATATCCAGCAACTTCCCACAGCCTGGAGCGGACCAACATTCCACAAGCCACTATCAACAACCTGATTGACTCTATGAGCAGTAGATGTGTTGCACTGCATGAGGCACATGCTTGTAGACCTCCAGAGGCCCCAACAGATCATTTTTTAACAATGACATCACTTAACTTCAACCTTTTCAGCGCCGCAGTGTATTAGTAGTTTCATTTTTCGTTTGGTTTCACCTTTGAATGGGATACTTCCAGTGCTCTTCATCTCTTCATCTGGATGATCACCTTACTGCCAGTTAAACACTCAAGAACACGAGAGAGAAACACAGAACCATCTGGTCCACTCTCTGGGTTTCTTGAACTATTAAAAAAGTTTTAAACTACATAAAACTATGAAACATGCAAAAAATAAATAAATAAATAATTAAAATATAAAATTATAAAAGAATATCAGCAATACATATATTACTATGTAATAAAATAATTGGTACTAGTAGTACTTTTTAAAATACAAATAAATAAACATTTAAAATATTGTAAATTATAACAAAATCAAGCACATTAATACATTAATAATAGTTAATATTTTTATATATACATTTCTGTCATAAAATGTTTTTAGAAATACATTCATTATTTTTTAATTCGGCTTAGTTCCTTTATTAATCTGGGGTCACCATGCACAGCAGAATGAACTGCAAACTTATCCAGCATTTGTTCTTCACGTTTTATGTTCTTTAGCCAGCGTATGTCTTTCAGCTGCAACCCATCACTGAGAAACACCCATACACTTCACACACACATTCACTATATAGACAATTTAGTTTACCCAATTCACCTATAGTGCATGTCTTTGGACTGTGTGGGAAACCAGAGCACCCGGAGGAAACCCACGCCAACACGGGGAATGTATTTAGATATGTATTTTTTAAATATTAATCATTTTTTTAATGTTAATAAACATTGTAATATTAATTATTTAAAATACATTAAATAATATTACATAACATAAATCTATAATTCACTGCACTAGTTTCTTACAAAATTCTCTAATAACATGTTATATATTTTATAGTGTAAATAAAAAATGTACAAGTGCGACACAGTGGCTCAGTGCTGTTGCCTCACAGCAAGAAAGTCACTGGTTCGAGTCCTGGCTGAGCCAGTTGGCATTTCTGAGTCTGCATGTTCTCCCTGTGTTAACTTGGGTTTTCTCTGGGTTCTCCGGCAAAAGAGGGAGCTCCTTCATGGGACTCTACATTTGTAAACACTCGTTAACAAATGTAAATGTGTGTGTCAGCATCTGCGTTATCCACGATGAGAGCGTACCATACACGTGCGCTTCACGCAAAAGTATAAATCAGCCTTAATCAAAAAGAAAAAATAATGAAGGAATGAAAACTCAAATTAATTACTTTCAGTATATCTGGAATCTTCTACTTGGTTTGGAATGATAAACATTTAATGAAATACAATAAAATAAAATACATAAGCAAAAAAAAAAAAACATGAAATAAAAGCCTAGTCAAGTCAAGGGAAATGAACAAACAGAGTAACAGTACTTTAGAATGTACAGGTTAAAATACTTTGTGTGGGAAAAATATTATTAACTTAATTTTGTGCAACAAGTATCTAGAACAGTAGTTCCACTTTAAAAGGCCAATTTAGAAAATCAAATACCACACTCTGTCCTGAAGCATTTCAAAAAAAGCCTCACGTTTCTCTTAAATCCCCTGCAAGACTTTGTCCATTACCATTAAAACGTTTTGCTTTCTCTTTGTTTGTTTGTTCATGAACTGAGTGACAGGGTAAATTATTTCCTGTCCTTCAAAGCTGGGAACTTAGTGACAAAGTTTCTTGCATTGATTTTTTTTAGACAATCTGCCATTACCTCCAAACTTTCACTCCCCCACAGCCGACAGACAGCAGTAAATCAGTCTATTCACAACCTCAAAGATGCAGAAGCTGCCTTTTATCCCTTTAGGTAACAATTTAAAAATGGATCTTCCATATGGTGTGGTAGAAATTTGTTTTTAAAAAGCAACTATGTAATGAGATTGCAGGGCTGCTTAGGGACAGCTTGTTGTTTTAGTAAAACGGCAGATGTTTGCTGATGGAAAGAAGCTTTTATGATGCACGTTTACAGTAAGAGACGGCAGTTTGAGAACATTGGAGATGACAAAAATGTCATCTAAAGGAAGATCAGAAAGCGAGATTTACTGCTAGTGTGAAGACTACACAAACACTTGAATACAATTGAAGATGTACCCATAGACATTGCCTATATACTACATACAACATTAACTGGTTATATACAGTCGAAGTGGGAATTATAGCCCTCCTGTATTATTAGACCCTGTATATTTAATACAGTATATTTAGCATTTATTTCAAAATATTTCTAAACGTAGTAGTTTACTTTTACAATAACTAATTTCTAATAACTGATTTCTTTTATCTTTGCCGTGATGACAGTACATTATATTTTACTAGATGTTTTTTAAGGTAATGGTATTCAGCTTAAAGTGACATACAAAGGCTTAACTTGGTTAGCAGTGTAGGGTAAGTTTCTTTAAAAAAATAATATATTACAAATTACTGATTACTACTGGGCGACGCAGTAGTGCTGTCGCCTCACAGCAAGAAAGTCGCTGGTTCAAGCCTCTGCTGGATCAGTTGGCATTTCCGTGTGGAGTTTGTATCTTTTTCCGTTTTTTCACCTGGGTTTCCTCCGAGTGCTCCGGTTTCCCCCACAAGTCTAATGACATGTGGTACAGGTGAATTGGGTAGGATAAATTATCCGTAGTGTACGAGTGTGAATAAGTGTGTATGATTGTTTCCCAGAGATGGGTTGCGGCTGGAAGGGCATTCGCTTTGTAATAACATGCTGGATAAGTTGGCGGTTCATTCCGCTGCAGCGACCCCGGATTAATAATGGGACTAAGTCGAAAACCAAATGAATGAATGAATAATTACCACTGGAAAATTGTAATCTTTACAATTACATTACATTACTATTGACTTAATGTAAAAATTAATCAGATTACTAAATACTTTACTATGAAATTATTTTTAAAACATATAAAACCTATAAAAATACTAAATTAACTGTGGCTCTTTTTAGTAATTTAATGAAAGGGTTGATCACTGGGCTTGACATATTCAAAAGACTTAAAAAGTTCACCCAAAACTTAAAATTCTCTCATCATTCACTTGTTCTGTTTTGTCTTGTTTGTCTTTTTTTGAACATATATATATATAAAAAAAATAAATAAATAAAAAATTATATATATATATATATATATATATATATATATATATATAAAATAACAATTTATAATAATTGTGACTAACTGTACACTCTCAAAAAAATAAATAAAAAAAAGAAGGTACAAAAGGGGCAGTACCTTTTCAAAAGATACACATTTGTACCCAAAGACTCCACAGTGGTACCTCAAAGTTGCACATGAGTCCCCAAATGTATCTTAAAATTACACTAAGGTACCATTGTGGACCCTTCAGGTACAAATATGTACCTTTTGAAAATGTACTACCCTAGTGACAGCTCCTGTACCTTTATTTCTGAAAGTGTATAATAACTTTAACTATTTAGAGTTATTAGTTACTAGTAAAGTAGTTAAAGTTATTAGTAACTATTAAAGTTATGGTAACTAATAACCAAAACTTTTCTGTATTTGATTGTAATGCAATAGTGTGCACTTCTTTCTAAAGTTGTTTTGGAATAATGATTATTGTAAAAAACGCTATACAAATAAACTTAAATTGAACTGAAGAAACGGTATATGCAAAACTTCTTAAGTTGAATTTAATACATTTTACTACCGTTTTTAATACCTTCAAAAAACTTTATAACAGCACGAATTAGTGCTGCAACTAGATGAAATATCCTATAACATATTGCAGATAACATAGATTTAAGTAAAGCAGAGGGATTATTGAAGATGTCACAATGGGCCTTTTTCCATAGTTTTAATGTCAAAAAGTAACAATTGCATAACAATAGCCGCTCTTTTAAAAACAGTTTGGTATGGTTACGTATCACAGTTACAAACCCACAGCAACTTAACTAGCAATGTAGCGGTGGTGGTGGGGCATAGCTTCTGTTATGCACCTATTAGCGATGCTGCTAGGACTACTGCAAGCAGTGGTTTGCATCGAGAAATTTATCTAAAAAAAATTAGCTCAAAAATGTAATACCTCGTCAGATGACGTTTATTACTTTTTAATACTTTTTTATTGCCCTTAATTTTGGCTAATTTTATTTACTACCTTTTACAACCCCGCGGACACCCTGAAAAAGCAGGCAAGTGTATGGGTGACTTTCTCTTACCGGTGGAGCAGCCAGCCAGCCGTAGTTGTCCTCCGTGCGGTTCATGTCTCGGTCAAAAGCGTACAGCTGCCGGTAGCGCAGATGATCCATGTCCACCAGGTTATACTGCCGGCGGGCATAATGATAACTCTCATTATTGCCGATTCGTGGAAAATCCAGCCACTCTGGATGGCCAAACTCATTGCCTGCAATTAAACACAACAGAGAAGATTGTTTCTTACAGACACATTCTTCAACTGAAGAAAACTCTACTGCTGTTACTGCTGACTCTGTTAGTCTTAGGCCCAATGACAATTCTATTTGTTCCTCTAACCCTTCACCTTCCTCTTCCCCTTGGCCCTTACAACCCAGGATTAAGGGGAAGGGCTTCAAAATTTACCCCTAAGAATTGGGACAGCACTACAGCACCTGCACACGTCATCATACTGTATGTCATTGCAATCTGTTGCTTCATGTGAGATCAGATGATCACAACTGCTGTAGTTATTCCAGTTGTGTTATTTTTGGGTATTTATTTACAGGAAATCATATATTATGTTATCATAACAATCTAATGTGGCAATAAAATCGTAATACTGTGCATTTAACACAGTGGCCATATTCATCAATGTAAACACACCAAAAACAACATTAACATTATAGCAGACACTGTAAAAAAAAAAGAAGCCGCAAAACAAAACTTTCTGAGATGTGCGCTTCTTTAAACTGGCCGCAAGTCAGAGCATCTGGGTTTTCTCTCCAACAAACCTTTTTTTTTCAAATTGGAAAACAACAGTTATTAATAGTTCTTAAACCAGACACTCAAGACATAATCTTTAAACAAATAACTTCTATTAAAAATGTTGACAGCTTTGTGATATAAGAAATATAGCGGAACATTAATTAAATGCATATTTAATGCAAAACGATTGATTTGAGGTAGCCTGCTATTTTTATTTGATGGAAGAAAAAAAAAAACATAATTGGAAAAACAGTCTATGCTGGTTTAAAAAGATTCAGTCAGTGTTTTTGTAATCTACATTCATACTTTAAGGGGGAAATATCTAGGGCAGGCCTATTAATTTTTTATTTATTTATTATTATTATTTTTTATTTCAATACTGCAGAAAACACTGCAGGTCTTCTGTTGTTATTATGTTCTGTAGCCTAGGCTGTTGTTCGCAAGGTAAAATAAATCAGTAATTTAAAATGCAATATTTAATGTGTCAGAAAATAGACAAGTCAATTATTTTTTTTTTGTTATTAAATAATAATTTATTATTAATCTGACCAGTTAACTGTTAATATTCAGGCAGTTGTTGGTTGGTAAAATTAACCAAAATGAGCATCCCTACTAATTGCCTTCATGACCATAGCATATCCATCTTGAGAGGCCACTTACATGGAGGAGACCAATCCATGTCACAAAGCTCAAATCATTACAAACTGATTTCTGTAACACGATAATGAGTTCACTCAAATCACATATCAATCCAACAGAGCAATCCTTAAATCTATTTAAAAACATCTCCAATCCTAAATGTTTAAGTTACTTACAAAAATGGACTTCGAAAATTCTGTGATTAAGACTCAATCTTTTCCCTGATGCCAATATTTAACAATTAAATTAAAAATAACAATAATAATAATAAAAATAATAATAAAAAAGATTGTTTAAAAGGTCATCGTAGCAAATTTGAGATTTAAAATTTCCTCTTTGAAAGATAATTAAGAAAAGTCCAGTAAACAGGATTTACCTTGAACGGATTTTTACCCCTGCTCTACACCTCCTGCAGCGACTCTTCCCTTCAGAAGAGAAGCGCACAACTTTAAAATCTATAAATCTATATTCCCACAGCATGGTTTATATTCTAACAAATGAATGCATGCTGAAAGAATTCACAGACCCTTTATTCATAACATTTCCGAAAGAACAGAGAGAAACACCGCAAACACACAGGCATAATGAAGCAGGAGACGAAAAGATAGGACTGAATAATGCATTATGGAACGTAAAATGACCTTCTCTGAGGGTTAAGTAACAGGAATAGAAAGAATTGCCTTTTGATGTACCACTTTTTATGTCTCTTAATACACAGCAGAAATAGGAGAAATTGTCAAGTATAGGACTATAATTTATTATTCAACTCACTCTGGGGTCCAAAATGAACTTCTAATCAACTGTCAACAACACTATTAAAGCCTGTTTCAAATATACTGAATACCAAATGCATGTTTTTAATATATATATCTGATTGGATTATGGCTAATTACCGATTAGAGACCAGCCGCGATCAATCATATCAGGTTCTGCTCTTGAAATTAGTTTGCAAAAGTTCACTTAAAGATAGAAAATCAAAAAAAAAAAAAAATGTACACACAAAAAAAACAAAAAAAAAAAAAACAAAAATGATAAATCAAAATTTTTAAGAAATATTTAATGGGCATATTTATTATTAAATCAAAATTAAGCAATTCTAAATAAATCAAACAAACAAAAATTCAACTGCAATTAAAGCTTTAATATATAGAGATTAACAAATGTAGATGTTTTTAATAAACATTTTTTTAAAACAAAATACAATTTTACACTTGAGAATTTTAAATAATTAAAAACACATTTAACACAATTGAAACTTTATTAAACAAAAATATACACAAAAACATGTAATGTACATAAATAAATACAAATGGCTCTATTTTAACAGTCTAAGTGCAAAGTCTAAAGCGGATGGCGCAAACGCATTAAGGGTGTGTCCGAATCTACTTTTGCTATTAAAGGATGGGAAATTATGCTCTGCACAGAGGTGCATAGTCTAATAAGGTTGAGCTTATTCTGTTAATTAGTTATTGGTGTGTTTTGAGCATAACTTGGATTAAACTAATCAGAATCTCATCTCGCATTCCCTTTAAGAGTCTGTTGAGTCGTGTCATGGCATGTTTGTAATTTACATGGTGAACTGTGTAAGTGGAAAAACTGAATGTTTCAGTGGGGAGTAAACAGTTAAACAGACCATCTGCAGCACGAGGATAAAGAACGAGCCTCCTCCGTTTAGCCTCTTTACTTTCGTAGAGTGAGGGAACGGTGAAAAACCACTCCACTGAAGACATCCATTAGCCTACGTATTTAATTTAGTTTGTTAAGCATAAAGATTTGTTTCTAAACTTTTTCTAAATTCAGTTCGAATTTTCATAACATTTAACATAACATAATAACATTTTAATCTTTAATTTTTTTTTTCAAATGTAAAGATATCTGTGTATTGCTGTATATTCTGTGTGCATTAAGCAATGTGTAAGCATTTGAACCTTCAGTTGGTCAATGGCTCAGTCTATTTCAGTTCCTCAAAATAGCAATGCACCAACAATGCACACCTCTTTCCTAGACCAGCACACGCTTGAGTCCAGAAAGTGGTGCAAATGGATTTGCTATTTAAACATTGCTCAAAACGTGAAAATTAGGGTTGCGCTGGTTTGAAAATAGCAACTAATCGATCCGGACACGTCTTGTGACTTATTGCGCTGGGTGTATAATTGGGCCCATTAAGATGAATAAAATTAAATAACAAATCAACATATTAATGAAATATTTAATGTACATATGTTATTAAACCAGAAGGCACATACATATTTAAACATCGACACAATTCTAACATTTTTGGCTTTATGCACCAACACAATGAATTCTAAATGAAACAAACAAGATGTGCTTTAACTGCAGAAGGTCAGCTTTAATTTTAGGGTATTTATAACAGTTTGCATATGTGCCTCTCACTTTTTAAGGGTCAAAAAGTAATTAGACATAATAATGATCATAAATCAAACTTGCACTTTTTAATACGTGGTTGCAAATCATTTTCAGTCAATTACAGTCTTTAGTCTTGAACACCCCATACGCTGTGTTTCATCCCTGGTGGTGCTCTGCCAGGCCTCTACAGCAGCTGTCTTCAGTTCCCGCTTGTTTCCAGGGCATTTTCCCTTCAGTTTTGTCTTCAGCAAGTAAAATGAAAGCTCAATCGGATTCAGGTCAGGGTAATGACTTGGCCATTGCAAAACATTCCACTTCTTTCCTTTCAAAAACCTCTTTGGTTGCTTTTGCAGTATGCTTTAGGTCATTCTCCATGAGTACCATCCAATGATTCCTGAAGTATTTGGCTTAATATGAGCAGAAAATATTGCCTGAAACATTTCAGAATTCATCCTGCTGCTTTTGTCAGTAGACACATCATCATTATATAAGAGAACCAGTAGTGGCCATTGACAGCCACACATGCCCATGCCATGTCACTACCACCATGCTTTACTGCTTAGGATCACAAGAAGTTCCTTTCCGTCCTTCCATACTCTTCTCTTCCCATCACTCTCATCACATCTGTCCACAAGATGTTGTTCCAGCACTGTGAAGGCTTTTTTAGAACTTTAATCTGGCCTTTCTGTTTTTGATGCTCACCAATGGTTTACATCTTGTGGTGAACCCTCTGTTTTCACTCTGGTGTAATCTTCTCTTGATTGTTGACGCTGACACATATACACCTACTTCCTCGAAAGTGTTCTTGATCTGGCAAACTGTTGTGAAGGGTGTTTTTTTTTTTTTTAACCAGAGAATTAATTCTTTGGTTTCATCCACCACAGTTGTTTTTGTAGTCTTCCAGGTCTTTCGGTATCCGGTGCGTTCTTTTAGTTGTTTTGACCACACTTAATGTTTTTGCTATCCCTCTGATGGTTTGTTTTGTTTTTTCAGCCTAATGATGGTTTGCTTGACTGACAGTGACAGCTCAGTAACAGATTCCAAATGCTTAAAATGAACTCTGGACCTTTTATGTGCTCATTGTAATTAAGATAGTGATGGAATAACACACACCTGGCCAGCTTAGAAGCCAATTGTCCAATTATGTTGAGACCCTTAACAAGTGGGGGGCACAAATGCAAATGTTGTAATTCCTAAAGCATTTTTCTGATTTGGACGTAAATAACCTCAAACTAAAGCTGAAAATTTGTTGTTTGTTTAATTTCAAATCGATTGTATTGGTGTATAGAGCCAAAAATGTTAGAATTGTGTCAATGTCCAAATATTTATGGAACTAACTGTACATACAAACAACAAAAAACATAAAACAAATTAATATTAATACTTTATATATACATTATATATTAATAATAATATTTAACATTTATTGATGAAAACATTTTTTATTTATTTAAATAA